CACGGCCTCCACCAATCCTGGACCAACATGAACAAAATGCCCTTGAAGGCCCTGAGCTCTTCCATGATGGATGGCCAAAGCATGCCTACAGACTGCTTGTGTTTCTGAATGAAGGGGTACACACTGTGTAGTATACTCAAGGATGGCCGGCACATAAGTCCACAGAAAGTGAGATGGCCGACAAGTACCTCGAGAGCCCGACCCGCACATCGCCGTCGTCTCAGCAATCCTTCCACGGCCTGATGGACTTTCCAGAGCCGCTCAACAGTGATTCGACAGCGCAATTTGTTGCCCTCAATGATGCATCCCAACGCCTCAACACAACCGCTACTGACTTCACTTCCGTGTAACTCGAGCCCCAGGCCATCGAACTTCAATCGTAAAGCATCCATTGCCTCCACAATGCGGTCATGGTCCGTACCGATCACTCCCAGGTTATCTACATACACATAAAAGTGATCTGCATCATCTCGGGCCTGTCCCACATGTAAAACCAGAGGCTCGCTGCGATCGTGTAGTAGCCGGGCCTGAGCGAGCAACAAGGTCGATCTCGAGAGGTACTCATTTGCCTTCTGTGCAAAATACAAACTCCACGAGAATCCTTGACACAACGAACCAGCGCAAGGAAAGATTGCATCCAGGGGCCCCACGAACTTCCCATCCACATACGTGTTCTCCAATCCCACCGTCTTGGCCGGGACAGCCTCCCAAGCAAAGTACCGAGCCAGCCATAGAGGAACACGCAATCTATGAAAGCAGTCCTTAACATCATTCAACCCGATGAAAGCGGTCAGCTTTGAGATCATCTCGGGACTCGCGAAGATTTCTTCATCAAACTCAACCTCGAAGCGACCAAAGGACTCAGCGGTCATCAACGAAACCCCCGGAGCCGCCTTGAAGCAAAGATTGGCCAACCGAGCATCGGTGATCATCCTGAGGCGGGCGCGCGATGACTTCCACACAAAGAAGATTCCTACTTTGCACCTCGGCTGTGTGGTGTATTGGAAATACCCGATCTTATGAAGGCGCTGGACCAGATTGTTGTACATCTTCTTATTGTACCTCAAGGCGGGATCCCAGTAAGGTTCTATGCCCTCTTCTGCACCAGCAAATTCAGCAAGCATCAGCTCTGATTGCTCCTCCAGGTACCGACAGTCGTCATGCGGAAGCACATCAAAAAGTAGAGGGCACCCGCTAACATCATCAGGAATGGAGACGAGGTCGGCTTGGTAAGAGGCAAGAGTCTCGTTTGAAGGCTTCCAGTCATACGGAGTGCCTCCACGGAGAAGCGAACGAAGTGCTTCCTCCGGTTTTGCCACGACGCCACTGGGCTTCTGGTCTCGGACCAGACCTTCCACACGCATCATAGCCTGAGCTTGCATCGGACTGGGCGAGCCTCGTAGATCATCATGATGAGTCCCGGCCATCCAATTAAGGGCATCCACAACTTCATTACAGTTAGATGCCACCTTCCGAATTCGTGCCCGCCTCTGCTGAACTGTACGACTTACTCCCTCTAGCTTCGGCGGACATGCAAACCTTGGGAGGGGGAACAAATGCCGTTCCTTGGTGCTGGCCCTGGCAGATGCTCCCGGTTGGTCTGCTCCCCCCAAGTGCCCTTCAGCCATTGAGCACACGAGCGGTGAAGGGCGCCCACTCGCGCGGATCCACACTCAACCTGACTCCTGCCCCCTGCCGCGGCCCTTTCTCGGACCTTTCGGGGGCTTGTTAGGCGCTCCTTCCACCGGATCTCCTCCACCATCATCGGTAGATGCAAGCGGAGCTCCACGAAGTTCACGGACCTTCTGCCGCGCCTGGAGCAGCTCCAATTCCTCCTTGTTCTTCTTAACCGCGTATGTTCTGAAGACTGGGCTGACGATGTCCTCGGGCGAG